AAAAAAAAATAATTTGAGTTAGTACTGTTGCCTCTGTTCTTAAACAAGCCTGCAAATACACTTACAATTCTTCTTGTGGGTGTGTTTACTAGTGCGGCTGAGTCTTAGAGGAAGAGCATTATTGCTGGGTCAGATAGACTTAGATTTGGACCTGTGCCCTATTTAGCTATGAAACTAAAGTAAAAAATATCTCCTTTTTAGGCCTTTTTTTTCTGAATAGTGAGTACAATATTATCATATTTTCATGTCTGTGGATTTAGGGATGATATTTGCAGACAGAAATAATTACAGGAGAATAGGTAATAAACATTTTATCTGAATATCATAAACATTACTTTAGATATTTATTATACATAGAATTCTAGTAAGGGAGTTATTGACCTCTGAATCAGATTTCACTGATTTTGATTCCAACCTTAGTCCTTTTTACTGGCCCTTTAAGGTTGTTTTGCTCAAATCTCTTCCTTCCTCTGAGATTCCCGAGCTATTTCCTCCCTGTCTGTCTTACCTTCAGACTAAGTGCTTCTTGCTGACCTGAGAACTTATGGTCATTTCTGCTTACTGCTTCTTCCTATGCTACTCTTCCTGGATTTACACTTGCTTCCTTCTATACTTTTCTAGACTGACCCTTCCCCTAAATCTTTGTTGCAGCATAAGAGGATTGTGACCTTGAGAATTTTTCCACAAGCTAAAGGTCTAAGGCCTCTTGTGTCAGCTATTGTGAGTATTTCCCAAATTAGACTGGCAGACATGAATTTGTAGAATTCTTTGGCAGAAGAGTGGGGGAGCCATAAAAGGAGGTGGTTATATGATTAGCTATTTGAGGCAATTCAGAGATTTAAGAACAAAGGACTTGAGAGTTTCTACATCCCTTTCTTGGCAGTATTAACTAGGACAAATGATTTAATCTCCCTGAACCTGTTTCTCATATGTAAAGTGAGTATAATCTACCTGCTTCATAGGGTTCTTTAAGGATAAATGAGAACAGCACTTACTGCAAATCCTGACATATAACAGATAGGAAGTGGCAGCTGCTATTATTATTATTGTTCAAGTAAGACTAAGAGCCCATAGCTAATAAAGCATATGCTGAAGCAGCCTATTGCAAATGCATTAGTCTTAAAACCTGCAGAATACCTTTCTTGTATGACTCTGCGGACCCAAACCAAATAGCAAAATCAGGTGGTTGTATAAGACTTAATATTATATGCCCATGAGTTTAAAAATCTAGGAGAAAAGAAGTTTTGTATATTCTCTGTTTCAGTCTGGCATATTAAAAAACAAAACCATATAGAGTGCTTGGAGACACATGTAGAGAAAGTATACTGACATGGAAAGACAAAAAGCTTTATTTGGAGCCTGGAAGAACTGGCTTCAGTGCTTGGCCCCGCTGCTTGCTCATAGTGTAACTTTGGGCAGGACATTTTAAAAACTAAGCAGAGCCATGGCTTCTTCATCTGTAACATACTGAGTGTTACTGATAGTCTGGGTTAACCTTTACTTGTGGACTAGTCATGGAAATATGTGGAAAGTGCCAAGCCTCAGTGAATAAGATAACTGTAGCTATTAGTATGAAGGGTATATTTGATAGAAGTGATAAGCAATATGGAAAACAACGTTTATGCTAGAGAAAGGAACAATAGGAAGAATCTTAATTGTGAGAGACCTGTGAGAAAACTAGAATAAAGGCGTCTGTAGGATGGTAATGTGACTTATAGATGAGAACAAGAGATGCCACTAGAAAGGACACTGACCTGGAAATTGCTTTAACTGGAGTGAGCTTATTGGCGTTTTTTGTTGAGTGGGGTAGCATTGAGAGTGGACCGTAATGTTGGTGTTTTTTGTTGAATGGGGTAGCATTGAGAATGGACTGTAAAACAGGAGCTAAGTCTCAGGCTGCTAAGAGTGGACACAATGGAGTGCTAACAGAAGGAACAGGTGAAGCAGATGGGGTTAAAAAAAAAAAAGAAGCATATCTCAATGGCTAAAACTGGTGGAAATACCATTTTTTAGAATGCCAATATTTAAAGCAGATGCTTCAAGTGAAAAGAAAAAGAAAAGCAGGGGAACAAAGGGAATTGGGATTGCTTCTGTATAATTTCTAGCAAGTGAGATTAGAAAATGAATGGTTTGGCAGGCCTTGCTTTTAACTTAATCTGCTGGAGTAACATGATTTCACAAATGTATCTCCATCCTTCCTACTAGTAGTCTCTCATCCTGAGGGTTGCATACATGTATATCATTATCTTCTTGACATTCTCACACATATCCAGCAGCTACTTTATTACAGAGAAATCTTTGAAAGGCAAAAAAAAAAAACAAAAATAAAACTAAATTTCTCTTTTAGTCATGATACTGTCTGTAACTTCAGTGCTAAACTTAGATGATATCTCTTGGATATCTGTTGGCTTCCTAATAATATGTGGTAAATGTGTACTTTGTGTGAGGTTCTGGTTTATACTAAAAAAGATGATGACCAGGTTTTTTAAATAAAAGAGCTTTTAATTGTGAGGAGAAGAGGCAGGTAACACAATCCCTATTAGATGTATATGTACATATGTCTTTATTGTTTTTGAGAATGTGGATGAGGGACATAAAATCAGGAAGGCTAAAAGAAATCATTGAGGTGAATTTTGGTGAAGACTTAGCAAGGTGAATTATGGAAGGAATGGTATTATAGGCAAAAGAATCCCCACTTAAGAAGTCCTCCTGAAGGAACTCAATAACTTCCCATGGCCAGTTGAATTTAAATTTGTTAGATTCAGTGAAACTTAAAATTCAGGTTTCTTAGTCATATTAGCCAAATAGCCATATATGGAATGTGGCTACCATTACTGGATAACTCAAATGTAGCTACATCTTTGCAAAACAGTCTAATGTACAAGAATTCTATAAGCAGTTGAGGCTGTTGGATGTAGAGAGCACTAGTTATGTGGTTGGGGAAAGTAAAGCTAGAAACTCAAATGAGGGAGAGGGTACATCTTGACAGGATTTGCGCAGTTGAACAAAGGAGTTCAGATTTGATTCTTTAAAGCTGCTGAGAGCTTTTTTGACTGTATTTTGAATGGGGGTGTGATATGATACAGTGTATTTTTTAGCTAGATTCTTTGAAAAGCAGGATGGATGATGAGCTGGATAAGTAGAGAGGTCTCTCTACTAGAAGAAAGACTGTTGTTTGGTTTTTTTGGAGAATGAAGACCTGAACTTACAAAGCAACAGTAGGAAAGATGAGGGACCACGTAGGAGCGTTTGTAGAACTTGGAGGTTACTTGAATTCTGCGGACTTATGGAAGAGAGAACTCTCTTGATAGTCTGCATGGATGGATGATGTCATCCCAGAAGGGTGCATAGGGAGGAGAGCTTTGGAGTATAAATGTGATGAATTGGTGGTGTACAGGTTGTGTTGTGTAGGTAAGTGAACAGAAGGATCTGAAACTCCTAAAGAGAGCATCTAGGCTGTGAAAGCTATTGTACAAGTGGTAGTTGAAGGTGGGGGAGAGAGGGGACATTAAGGTAAGTACAAAAAGTGTGAGAAGACTGGGAGACATCTTGGAGGAATTCCATGTTCTACACTTTTTTTTTTTTTTAAGACAAATGAGCAGATATCTGCAAAAGCTGGAGGAAAAGGTGGGAAGAACGGGGTCATTGAATGAAGAGGCAGCATTTCAAGGAAAGAATGGTCCACAGTGCCAAGAGTATAGCAGAAGATTCAAGTAACTTAAGAATAGAGGAAGAATACAGGAAGTTATTGATAAGCTTAAGAAAGGCAATTTTATTGGAGAATTGAAGCAGAAAGTAGATTATGGTGGGTTAAGAGATATATAGAATGTAAGGAGTTTCAGTCAGTGAAGACAGATAATTTCAAGAAATGTTTAGAAGTGAGAAATGGTAACAAGAAGGTTAAGGGTTTTGAGATGTGAAAAAAATTAAATGTATTTACATGCCAGAAGGTAAAAAGAAGAGGGTAGAAGTATCAGAAACAGGGGAGTTGATACAGTTCTCGAGATGGGAGAGAATGGATTGTAAAGCACAGTTGGTGAGATTAGTTTGTTTTTTTTTAAAGATTTATTTATTTTTGCATACAGAACTGGGATACAGGCCAGAGACTCAGGGGCAGTGAGAGGCTTCACCAGAGACAGAGTGGG